TGGAAGATCATGAATGGTATTCGTAGTAGAAAGATGCGATAAAATAATTAGCAATTGGGGTTCTCTATGGTGATTGGTGGAGTCGAGAAATTAGACAAAAATATTCAACTTGTTGCTGTGAAGACACAACGCCGGGCAAACGACGATGACAACAAACACCCCTATTTACGCCAATTCGCTCCTTCGCACAATGAAAACTACATTATTACTCACCCACTGCCATGATCAGCACAGGAATCGCGTAGCGCCCCATTTCCAGCTCACGCAGCTTTCAACCTCGACGAAAACTGGATGCCCAGACGCAAATGAAAAGCCACGAATTAAACGGGTTGAGCCTGTCCCCTGTCCGTCGGCTTGATGCTAACGAGGTCGGCCGGAAATACCAGAGCGGTGCACCGCGGTGCAGGGTGCACCGATGCACGCGCAGGCCGGCCGCTTCCTGCACGCGGCAGCGCCAAGCTTCGAGCCATCATCACCCTTTGCAGTCTCGCATTGGCGGAGCCTCGATATTAATAATAAAAATAACCATTCTAAAAATCTGACACCTCTTTTATGCTATAGTATTGGGGTTGATAGACATGGCAATAAGAGATCGAGTCGGACTTTTTGTCCGTTGTCTTGCTCTCGTCACGGGAGCTCGATCCGGCGAGATTTCCGAAATCCTATCGGGAGAATGTCACCGCTGGATGATCTCTCGGCAACCATCTGGGAACGGAGAAGGAAAGGGCGCAAGTTTACGAAGCGCAATAACAGTTTGTAACACGGTGGACGTTAGGGCCACCCCGACTTATTAGGAAGTGTACTATAAGGTAACGGTGAAGTTAATAGGGCCATGACACTCGTCCTCTCAATCCAACCTTATTAACGAACCGCCTGCTGTGTAGGCCACTTGTACCTAGATACGGCAGGGAGGGCGATTGCCCCCTCCCCCAGTCCCCCCCTTCCTCTTAATCCGCGCTATCATGGCCCCCTAGAGTATGCAAACCCGCAACACTGTTGGGTCGAAGCCCTGACAGGTACTACGGTTCTGAGGCTCAGGGATCTGGAGTGTGTCCGAATTCTCAATCCGACCGTTCTAAATAGGTCTGAACGGGTCGGAATGAAGGAGAGGGGGGGGGGGCAGAACGGTCGGTCGGATTGAGAATTCGAATTCGGACACACTTCTGATCTGCAGCGCACCTCGTATGGCGGGACCGTGCGTATGGTGGAGGCGGAGTCCGCGGGGGAAGCCCCCTGGAACCAGGCCTCCAGCGGGCAATCCCGGGTCCAAGGCCCACTCCAGGGTCCGCTCCAGGGCTCAGCCACAGGAGGGGCAGGGGTGGCACGCAGGTGGCTCAGGAACAGGCGGCGCCAGCGCCGCTGCACGCTCAGCGGAAATGCCCTGCGTCGGACCAGCGGTCAGCAGCAGTCAGCTAAGCGCGGATCAGGAAAGCGCTGACGCACTAACATGATGGCCGATCTCCCTTTGTGCTTCTAAAGCTGACTTATTGGCCTCGTGCACGTTTGTAGTCGTTGCAAACGTGCCAACACAGAAACACGGACCAGCTTTGGTTTCACGCCAAAAAGTGGTTTCGTTTGTTCCACAGGACACATTGACTGTGATGTAAAGCTGAATTCGGTTGATTTAAGGGAATTCCCCTTCAATACACGGAATTTAGCTTTACACCAACGTCAAAAATTCCTTTGTAACAACGGTAGCGCTTTTTGACGTGAAATCATAGGTACGTTTTTCCGGATGCATCGTCTCTGACCGACGGCCCTGTTTGTAGCTACAAACAGGGACATCAGTCTTGGGCTTGGTAGAGTGCCTCAGAAATGGTCACTGCCAGATGCTGCCAGAGGACTTCGGGGCGGACCTTAGGAGCCTCATCCAGAGGACGAGGCAGCGCGGCACGGAGATGGTGTCGCGGCCCAGCAGGACGCCGGTCACGATCTGGCGGGCGACGTCGTCCAGGGTCCGGCGCCCCCAGCTGAGGGTAGGACACGGTCACGGTCAGTGGTGGTGGAGTGCGCCCGCGTGCACCCCATATATGGTGACGCACCAATGCTCGGCGCCCTGATGGCCGCTGCTGGGTAGGCAGGGATAGGCGCAGGACACGCGCACGCGGTTGCGGGGCAGCGCGGCCAGCTCCTCCCGCAGCCCGCTCATCATGCCTGCCGACCGAGTTTCATGCCTCGTTTTGTGGCACAAATTGCCTACCTTTCAGGCGGCTTACTCGCTAATAGGGAGGGGGGGGGGACGGTCACTCCCACCACCACCCCCCTTAGACCGCGCCTGAGCGCAAGCGGACCGCTTGGCCTTGCAGGAGTGAGAACTTGCAGCTATATTTGCACCGCACTAACTAGCTGCACATTTTATTCCGGCGCTTTCAAGGCCGACGGCGCCCGCTGTGTGCGACGCCTGCGCTGTTGCAAGGTGCGCTGCGTACCAGACACCGCCTGCTTGGTGGCCACGTAGGGACCCTCGAGGGCCGCGGGGAGGATGCTGGTGGCGCTGGAGATGAACACGACGTGGCCCTTGTTGTGCAGCACCATGGGGGGCACGAACACCTTGAGCAGCTGTGGAATGCAGAGGGACATACTCTCGGTGTAGTAGGAGAATACAACGTCGAATGGGTAAAGGGCAAAAACTCGCACTCCGTTTTTTGTGTGTTTTCCTTTCTCATCTCATATCGGTTCTCGCTCTTACACAGCCACACACCACCGCCTCACCACAAAGTGCGGGAACACGTTGTCGTGGAAGAGGTCCTGCAGGTCTCGAACGGTGAAACGAAGCAGCGGTTTCAGTGGCAGCCGCCCGACGTTGAGCACCACTATGTGCACGTGGCCGACGTCGCGCCGCAGCACGGCCGCCCCCGCCGCGACGGCTGCCTCGTCCGTGGCGTCCACCGCGTAGCCCTGCGCGGCCCCGCCGCGGTGCCGGACCTCGTACACCTGTACTGCGGGTGGGGGGATGTTAGAGGCCCCTGAGCGCACCGCGAGCCGCCGCCTTCCCCAACAAGACTCACCGTGTTCATGCAGCGGTCCAGGTCTGGGTCCCAGCACACGACCAGTCCGGCCTCAAGCCCGAAGCGCACCGCCACGCGCCGCCCCAGGCCGCGGCCCGCGTTGGTCACCTGGGGGAGGGAAGGCCACAAGGCCACATAGTGCCGAAGGGGGCAGCGCGTCGCGCGCACAAGCCACTCACTTGTAACCCTTGTAACACAATTGTGCAATATATTTTCACATCTGTGCAAATAATGATTTTGAACATATTTCATGGTGTCTAACAGACGTTGCACACGTAATAAGCAAATTTTAGGCGTTTCGTACACATCTAAATTTTGTTGCTTTACGTTTCGGAAATGTCTAAAGTTTGCACACCTTATTGGCGCTAGTTAGACTCCACAATGATGTGTCTTTGCCACGTGCACTTACACGTCGGTTGACGTGCAAAATTTAACACCTGCCTATTCAGTGCTGTGTTCCTAGTCTTGGACCCAGTGAGAAAGGGTTTTGGGCACGATATCGAAACGATAACGTGTCGATATCGGACGTCGTAAATTGTATCGCTAACAATAAAAAATTGTACCCGATTTCGACACACTTTCGACATGCGATAATGAGGTATTTTATTGGTACAAAGATCCGCAAGAACAAGCCAGAACATAACAAGCCTTCAATTTTTTTTCAGTCGATTTTCGAAAATCAGTTCAAGGCTTATGCTCTGGCTTGTTCTTCCTGATCTTCGTTATACCAATAAAATACCCCATTTCAGCCACCCTGAGCCCTCATAGCGCCTAGTAGGTAGGCAACATCTTGTCTGCAGTA